GAGTTCATCATTGCAACACATGCTACACGAAGCTCGGTGAGCGCAATCTTACCTCGGCATCGTTCCCATCGAGACTTCTACAGCATAACCGTGTGCACAGGAGGCCCAATCCCTGCTCTCTTTACAGTTGCAAACTATTGTGGATTGATTATCGTCCACGGTGACCCTGCGCGAATCATCCTCATCTTTTGTGAAGGTAACAAGATAGAAGCAATAATATCTACTCATAACTTCTTCCAATGGGAGCTCTGAGGAAGCAGCTTTCGAGTACAGTGAGGATGACTATTAGAGACGTTCTTCGAAAGTCTTTAGCCTTGTGTCTTACCTTGTTCTATGTCATCGAGTAGTATTGCACGAAGATAAACCTCAATAGCGTTGTTCATCGTAGTGGAACGCAGTCTCTGCTCCAATCGATGATTTTCGACTACGAAACATTCTGTCATGGGCCTCTCGCCTCGGAGTCTTTCGACGGCATCAGTAACCTGAGATTCGATAGTTGATTCACGGTCAGGTATTGAACAATTCCAATGAAGTTTCTCACTTACGTCATGGACACAGTTCCTGTTGCATAGCTTAGTGCCGAGCAGTTTCGCATGATGACTATAAGCTACGTCGTTGATAGTCATCGGACGGCGGACAAAATGCTGAGGGCTCGAACGTTTGATGGAGCTGATCACCTGTAGGACTGAATTTGAGATTCTCTTAAACTTCGGACGTTATGGAGGCCCTCCAGTGAACCGGAGAATTATATTACATCCCTTATCCGTGCTGCAAATTGTGAGATACGAAGGCGTTTCCTTCCAACAATCTTTGCCATAGTTTTGTTGAAAGTCTCCACAATATTATTCAAAACCTACTTGAGGAGCGAATTCGATCAGTTACGAGTCGGATCACTACGAAAGCAGAATCGGTTCAACTAAAGTGGGATCGGCTTACCTGTGTGCCACGGAGACCTCCACCATCCAACGAGATGTTAGGATATCCATATTTCTCCACGTCCAGGGTATTACGGAGATACACAGCTCCTCTGTGGTTCAGCGTTTCGACAGACGAGATCAAAGCTTTCGACAGCGTATTATATAATTCATCTGTGGGACTAGCGTGTAGCCAAAACTTGTATCTCTCTACCTGAACGCTCGAGAATGAAAATCGGGTTACCCCATTACGATGTTCTGGAGACGTTGACTTTGAATCATTACAAGTGGTAATGCATCTGCTAATTTGGACGCGTTATCCTTGATGTTTTTCGACAAATGATAGTAGCAACGCCCTAACAAATGACTTCAGTTCTGTATATATATAACGAGCCCTATCACCGTTCCTGACGCCAGGGAGTTTCTCTCTGCATGCCGCGAGTGCCCCTTGATGAGCGTCGTGAACACAAAAGTTCACAGCATCCCTCAAATCTCGAGTGCCCAGCGACAAAGCTCGGATAAGGAGATCCAACTTTTCTAGCATAAACTCATACACTTCCGCTGATTCCTCATCGAGGATGGCCGACAAGAACGGAACGAATGTGTGACTATATGCTCTTTTCAGGGGGTTATACCTGCGAATTGCAGGCTGTGATCAATATCGAGCTATGCATATCTCGCTTGCGACTCGAGCGTTTGCTTCTTGAAATTTTCCGAGTGCTGCTTACCAGACCCGCGTTGTTCCAACCCAAGCCACTTTCAAGCCGTCCCGTAGGATTTTATTCTGTACGTCCATATACAACGCGAAGCCTTCCGGCATAGAATCGATATACCAAAGCAGCGAGCTCAACATGCCTGAGAGGCACCAAAAAATGTCTGACACCGCATGAACCGCTCATGATTAGATCCGTCCATTGGACACATCAGCTGTCTCCCCACTCTGTTTGCTGAGTTAGACAGCCAGACTTACTTCCTCCACCGAACACCACTGCCCAGTGCGAGTCGCTCCAGAATCCTCCATGATAAACGAATTCTTGTGGAAGATCCCGACCTTCGCGTATGAAATGGACCATCGCATCTGTCAGCTTGTAACCAGCAAATTCCGCTTCCAGGTCATAGTAGTTGTTTATAATATGCATATTCACACCGGATCGAGTTGGAGCAGTATCCAACAATCTCTGAATCTGATGGTTCATTTGTGATGAATAAACATGGAGCGATGGCCCGGCCTTACTTGGTAGCGGGATATTTTCCCCACGTATTCCGGGAAATAAACTTCGAGATTGGCAAGTATGGCAGACGCATTCAGATGCGATACGGTACCCTCCCGCATGATGAAGTCGATGATGTGCGATGGATGCCGATCTCGCATCCGAATGGAAAATTCTCCGCCGTGCTCTCCTAGCGAGAGCATCAACGCTCACGAGGCCAATCAGGGAAATCGCTCTCTTACCAGTCTTTTCTACAACCACTGTGTCAGCCGTCGCTGACACCTTGTACTTCCGAGGACATTGGATATGAGTTACACACCGGTATTGTGCAACACCTCTATCCTCGTTTTTGAACTCGTTAATGTACAAATGATCGAGACGCAGCCTGCTCATGGCGTCGGCGAAGATATTGATTCCGGGCCGAGGTTGAAACCTCTCGAATTCCCGAACCTGCGTCCATTGGAGTCTGGGCGGCATCGTTTGTGCTGAATAAACGGAACTGAAACATCAGTATCATCGTGACTCGACGCGCATCGGACTGGATTCTCATGTTTCCGAACACCAGGGACGGATAGACTAGATATCAGGTTATTGACATTGTTTTGAATCATTGCACAATTATCTTGAATAAATCATTCATAGCACCGTTAAGCTGTTATGAAGGGTTGATATGAGTAGAAGCTATTAGATTGGTTACCAGGACGGTTTCCCTATCATGATAGCAGC